AAAAAATATGATTAAGTGGATGCATGTGCACGGCCATATTCTTAGTTAGTGAATCAAAAAATTTATATTCTTGAAACTTTTATAAGATATATAATAGGCTTGATGAAAAAAAAAATATTATATCCTTAATTATAAAAGTTTTAAAAAGTTGTATTTTTATTTATATAAAATCTTTTAAGTAGTCAACATCTTAAGATAATTTATTGTTTTATAAATTGAAATAGCCCTTGTATTCGTAATTAATAAATTTTAATTCATTGGAAAAGGCATTTTAGTTGGTAACAATTTGTGTTTTTTCTTGTTGATTGATATTTTAAATTCAAACTTGAACACAATTAAAGAGTATTTAAAAAAAATATTTTTTATTATATAATCAATCACCAAATGATTTAAAAAGTGCTAATTAACGGCACTTATAATTAGTTTTATTTGTCTGACTTTACTAACCGGTGAGTCTAACAATCAGGATAAACACAGAAATATGATCTCATGCAGACCAACAATCTGCATGCGTGAGTCAGTGACAATCTTGATTCTAATTAATTAGCTGAAGTAATAATCGTTTGTCTTGGGCTGAGATTTCTGCATTTAGCAAGGAGCAGGTAGGAAAAGTAGTACCAAGGCTTTCAAAACCAAAGAACACATTTTTCTAAGGTCAACAGCAAAATGGCATCATTGGAAATTTGGCAAGAGTTAGTAAGCTAATCAACAACTATTAAAAAAGACAATTATTTTCCAGGATTAGAAACAATGTGGGAGACTTGGCAAAAATAAATAAAATAATAATAATAATAATGGAAAGACAAAAAGCCGCACTCTGTTCTTTTTCAACCATATTATTTATTTATTTATTTGAACACAATTACAATTTTTTTTTTTTGGGTCCAATAGAACTGTTTTTATATTTTAAGGAGAGCTTACAAGACTTCTACGTTCTATATTTAGCACTTATTCATGTTAATTTGTTTTTGCCCCTTTTCTTTCTCTTATACCGTTTAATTTTGGAATAAACAAAGACGAGAGGCAAATTTCTCGTGAATTTCTTCTATTTCAACGTGAATGATATATTTCACGTACGACTCACGTTCATATGTGAAAAACCAAAACAAAAAAACAAAAATGAAGTAAGAAGTACATCACTTGCTTAGTCACAAGTAACATCACAAACCATAAAATAACCAAATAGGCCCTAATTCTTTTAGACAACAAACAAGCAGGCCTTCACCAAAACTTAACATGAGGACATGTGCACTGACAAATGCATAACCTAAACGATTCGCTTTGCCTCGTTGATTATTCCCCCTATTTCTACGGATGGTTTGGCGAGACCATGTCTCAAAATTAATATCATTTGTTTAATATATTCCTTCAATTATTAGCTAGGGGCAGCAAACAGATACATTCATCCTATTTCTTCAATTGGTTTTATACAATCGATATGCACTTTTTATGGAGGGAATTGCTCCCAAGAATCAAACTTTCCCCAGTTGATAAGATAGTGTTTGGGTGCATTATTTTGTCGAAGACAATATTTAGGATAAAGTGGGACTAGGATTCTGCTATGCACCATTTGACCTCCAAAATATACCCATTATTATGATGTGATATACAACACTAATGGTTAAGACCTTAGTATCACCAGTTGTGTTCTTAGCGATTAAGACCCTTCCCTAGTTATGTTCTCAAGGTCTTGAAAATGAAATGCAATCAGTCCTAGGTGTCAATGTTTTTTTAAAAAAAAAAAAAAAATAAAAGAATAGAAAAGCTTCTACTTAAACAAGTCTACAAAAGCAACAACTAGACCAAGATGTCAATGGTTTTTTTAGGGATCTTTTATATAAGCATGACCTGCCAAAAGTTGGGCATCAAGTAGAGAAGTGGGGTTTAAGGCAAGCCCTCTGTTTCAGGGGGGCAAAAGAGTATGGAAAGGGTCTCTCCCTGTTGTGTTGTAATGTTGGGCCATCAGGTTTCCACTATACACGATCACTTTATAGCTGCTACGGTGTGAAACAAACACAACTTTTTAAGCTAAGTACTGTAAATATTAGATTGTCACTACACATAATCACTGCATGCCTACTCAAAGGATCTATTCAATGGAGTCAGTGATGTGCCTTTCAAAAAAAATAAAATAAAATACAGTGATGATCTAGCTCCAGGAATAGGAAGACACTGTTCCAACTAAAATTGCAACACTATATGCTACTTCAAGAAGTGAAATGCAAGTCCAGAAAACCTGTCAAAGGTAAATTAGAGAGTAAAAGGATATTAAGAAGTTACTGCATGTTTGGATTGAGAGAAATAAAGGAAAGGAAACAGTTTTCCTCCAATTAAACAAAGGAATTCTCTCCTTTCCTTTCCCCTCATTTACCTCAATCCAAACATGAATTGTGCTCTACAGCTGTTCTGTATAGGATCCAATTCCAAATATCTTGTCTGTATATCCTTCAAAAATCCATTTGGAACTTAGGACAGACACTCTTACTTTGGTTTACAAGAAATTGAATTATTGCAGAAAACAGACAAAAAGAGAGTAGAGTACTCATCAAATCAATTACTTTAAGTAATGCTATAACAATTGAAGAAATTTATCAATGCTGTTGCAAAAGTTAGGAGTTTTAAAATGCCAGCTAGTCCTCTAAGTACATGGGTCTGGAAATGTAAGAAAAAGTAAAGCAGTATAGGTGATGCAGTCATGGGATAACCCTTGAAAGAATTGCTTACATTATTAGGAGGGATATATTATAAAATGTCAATAGAATGTAGTATCTAGGACAAACTATGTTACTTATTCTATTAAAATGATATATTATAGTCAATTCTATTTTCAGGTGAGGAAAGAATGAGGGAAAACAAAGATGTGTATGTGAAGATATAAAGCAAGTTTCACAATGACTGCTCGAACAGCTAGGATATGCAGTAATGCAACAAGCCATATGTCGATGATGATTCTTCCTTCTGCACATACGCAGATGATGTGCGAACCTCTATCTTTTTGTATAATTTAAGCAACTAGGTCTGGGATAAAGAATGTAAGCTTGGCTGATGATACCAGACAAAGGTGGATGAGGAAAGTGCAAGCAAAAAAGATCCTTGAGCTTAAGGTTGTTTTCAATAACAACATGAAACAAAGATAAGCCACTGAATTATACAAGTTTGACTATTTGCAAATAGGTTACTGCATGATTACCTATCAAGTATTTGTTGGTCAGCCATTTGTAGGATAAAAAGGGAAAAAGTATATGAATATAACATGAAAAAAATTTATGAACACCAAATGCAGAAATTGTAGCAAAACTTTAAACCTGTTTGAGGAGCCTATTGAAATTGCAAGAAAAAAAGGCAAAACATATAATTGAGAGTGCCATAATAATGAATACCTACGGATTGTAAGTTTATGTAAAAATGTTAGAGTACTATGACTGCAGACAATAAAAAGTAGAGAAATGGAATCATATGAATATCTTTTTTCTACAAAAGCAAAAAAGGCAAAGACCAGCCTACAGAGATTATTGAAACAAAATTAAATTTAACAACTCAAAGGCCCATTAAACTTTCTAGAGGCAGGCCTAAATTTATTTTACATCTGTAACATGACTAAAAAAAAAAAAAACTGCAGAATTGTATAAAAAAAAATGGTAATTTTTCTCTGCACAACCTAAAGTAATATTTAGTTATTTACTCTTCCATTGTAGATAAAGAGTTATCTACTTCAGTATATTGAAAATTATGCCAAAACCTCCGAAAAGATTAATAAACCATGTAATTAAATATAAAAGTAATGTAATAATTAAATGTAAAAGTAATGCAATAAATAATAGGTATTAAGCAGTCTATTAAGAACTCAAATCACAAAAAAGACACTAATGTAACAACCACCACATAATCTCTTAATTGCTAAAAATGGTACTTCCAACCCTTGACATATCTCTTAATTATTTGTTTCAATCTTCATTTTTCCTGGACCAACCATCACACATACCTGATAATAACCAAGCAGCAAAGTAAGAACTGCAATTGAACCCACTAACTATACATAGAAAACAATATTTCTTCATGCTTATTTCTTTTTCTTTTTTTTTCATAGAAAACTGTGTGCATTATCTGTGTAAATGTTGTCATCTTAACTGCATTTAGTGGAGTATGGATTGAAAAGCCTGACTCTGCTACTAATTGGAAAGTCATATGTACTAGACAACAAACAACAAGAAAAATTGAAGGATATGAATATTGAAATGCCATTAATTATGAATAATGTTATAAGAGTAGATTATATTACATGATTATTCTATCCATGTCTGTGAATCATGCTTGTTCAATTTTAGGGAAATTCTAATGCCCCATTTTAGTTCTAAGCATCAGCACTCTAATCCAGACCACGAGATATATTGAGTTATGGGATAAGATTCTGTACTTATATGAAAGTGGTCTTTCAGTTGGAACTGACTAGTAATATTGATTTAGAATTAAGTGCCATAATTAAATCAGCTTAACAGTGAATTAACAAATTTAGCCCAATCCTAATATTGAACCACAATGCAGCCCACTAACTATCCATACATACAACATCCAAAATAGGTTACTTTTGCAACTAAACTCCTATAGTCATTTCTTTGATTCCAAAATTTGTACCATTGCAATCAATTCAATATAATCTTGTTCAATTTTTATTATGCCAACCTCTGCAATCTCTATATGTCCTTAAGAATGCTCAATTCAGAGCTTTAGAACCTTCATCTCCCTGCGACTCTTTAATAATAAGTTAAATGCTATTATCCATCTAGCTAAGAAAATATCACTCTAAATGAATGAAACAAAAGAAACAGCAACTAAAATCTTTATGCACCATCTCCATAATTTAAAACTTCAACTAGAAGGAAAAAAAAAAAAAAATTACAATAATCAGTGCCCAATTCATTTTTATTTCTACTTTCCAAAATTTAGCAAACTGATTAAAGCATTAAGATGAATTTTCCATGGAGATTTGCCTTCATTTTTTCATCAATCAAACAGAACCAAATAAATAAATAAATAAATAAATAAAACCAAAGGTAAAACCGCAAGCAAACTCAAAGTAGACAAAAAAGATTAAAACAAAGCTCACATGTAAAAAAATCAAGGTGGCCTTAAAGATTCTCGAAAGCGATCCTGATCTCCCAAATTGTAGAGTCATTGTTGTCCATCCTGAAGTCCTCAATGAACACAAAACTGGCGCCATTTTCTACATTTACGGCAACGGCAACCCAATGTTGTGCTCCTATATCATGAAAAAGGAAAATGTAGACTGTAAAAAAGGAAGAAAAATAAGA